AGAGCTGCTGTCGGCAGGGCCACCGGCCGGGAGGTCTTCGACTGGATCCTGGACCAGGGCTACTACTCGGAGAAGGACACCAGCAACGTCATCCGGCAGGTGCTGGAGGCCGTCGCGTACCTGCACTCGCTCAAGATCGTCCACAGGAACCTCAAGGTGGGTGGTGGTGGGTTGGGAGCACCCATGGGTGCTGGCGTGCCCCCTGCCCCGGCGCTCACGGCCCCTGTGACCCAGCTGGAGAACCTGGTCTACTATAACCGCCTGAAGAACTCCAAGATCGTCATCAGCGACTTCCACCTGGCCAAGCTGGAGAACGGGCTCATCAAGGAGCCCTGTGGCACCCCTGAGTACCTGGGTGGGTGACAGCCAGCTGGGTGGGTGCATGGGGGTGGGCAGCACTGCTGGGGTCCCAGCAGGTCCCTGCTGCTTCTCACCACCCTGGGGACCGGTCCTGGGGGCTGCTATGGGGTCCCTACCACTCCCCATCACCCCAGGGATGATCCTGGGTGCTCCCGGTGGGTCCCTCCTGCTCCCCATCACCCTGGGGCTGATCCTGGGTGCTCCCAGTGGGTCCCTCGCACTCTCCATCACCCCGGGGCTGATCCTGGGTGCTCCCAGTGGGTTCCTCTCACTCCCTATCACCCCAGGGATGATCCTGGGTGCTCTCAGTGGGTCCCTCCTGCTCCCCATCACCCTGGGGCTGATTCTGAGTGCTCCCAGTGGGTCTCTCCCACTCCCCATCACCCCAGGGGCTGATCCTGGGTGCTCCCAGTGGGTCCCTCCTGCTCCCCATCACCCTGGGGCTGATTCTGGGTGCTCCCAGTGGGTTCCTCTCACTCCCCATCACCCCAGGGATGATCCTGGGTGCTCCCGGTGGGTCCTTCCCGCTCCCCATCACCCCGGGGATGATCCTGGGTGCTCACGGTGGGTCCCTCCTGCTCCCCATCACCCTGGGGCTGATCCTGGGTGGTCCCGCTGGTTCCCCCCCGCTCCCCATCCCTGGGGGTGAGGGGCTGGGGTGTTGGGGACCCCGGGGCAGGGCTGCTCTCCTGTCCCTCACAGCTCCGGAGGTGGTGGGGCGGCAGCGGTACGGGCGGCCAGTGGACTGCTGGGCCATCGGCGTCATCATGTACATCCTGTGAGTGTGGGGTGAGGGCTGGGGCGGCTGCAGGGGGTCAGGGGCCATGGATCAGGCTGAGCCTCCCGTTCCCTCCCCCAGCCTCTCGGGGAACCCCCCTTTCTACGAGGAGGCAGACGAGGATGACTACGAGAACCACGACAAGAACCTCTTCCGCAAAATCCTGGCCGGGGACTACGAGTTTGACCCACCATACTGGGACGACATCTCGCAGGCGGGTGAGCCCCGCACCAGGGGGGAACATGGGGTTCCATGTTGTGTGTGTGTGTGTCCCCTCCCCGGCGCTGACGTCCCACCCTGTGCCCCCAGCCAAGGAGCTGGTGACGCGCCTGATGGAGGTGGAGCAGGACCAGCGGATCACGGCGGAGGAGGCCATCTCCCACGAGTGGTGAGGGGCGGTGGGGGCAGGCAGGGGAGCTGGGGTGGGGCTGGTGGGGGCCGCTCACCCCTCTCTGCCTCCCCAGGATCTCTGGCAACGCCGCCTCCGACAAGAACATCAAGGATG